ACATTCTAGTTATTCTTTATGTATTTGAAAATTATTAGATTTGATTGATTTTAAATACATTATAAACTCTCAACAATTACTATTGTCGTTGTGTGATATTCACCATTGGTCGCAATCATCACCACTAGTCACCAATTATCACAATCGTTGGATTTTATATTGCATTCTTTTACTTCAATCTAAAAAAATAATTACCTACATTTATGTTACACTAGTTAAAATAACTCCAAATATTTTAAATATATTATATTCTTTTTACATTACATTTTATTTTATTATACATCCTTTTTTAAGCAAATGATCAAACGATCCCTAAAGATGAGTTTAACCTAAAGATACTAAAATTTTTAATTGATTGGTGTATTAATAATAGTGTTAAAACACAGCTCACATTTGCCTGTTGGTTGGGGCAAATTATTCTGTGCGGACACTGAATGGCGTCCATAGACCAATTAGTATGTGTCATGTCACCCCCGCTCGGTACCACGGCTCGATACTGCTGACGTGACATATTCTTGTTGGTCTCCGGACAATGAACTGTGTTCGGCGTCCGCACAGAATAATCTCTCATTGGTTGGGAGCTTTGACTACCAACCAAGAGGTTTTAGGTTCGAATTTTACGAGTGTAATATATCCATGAGTTTATCTTAATTTGCCTAAATATCTCCCCAAAAAAATATTAGTGTTAAAAACGGTAAGTTCTACTATTTGATTTTGAGTTGAAGATGAATACAAACCAAATTAATGTCAATCAATTAGCTTTTTACTGACTTTTTCTTTCCTTAATTCAAATAAGAAAATCGGATTTATTTTCTCCCATTTTTTTTATTATTAGTTTGATAACTTGAATGACCACTCTTGTTTTTCCTTTTCTAATTTTTAGAAAGGATTTTATATTTTTATTTAAAGATCTTAAAACTTGCAAAAATTTATTTTTCACCTTTTTTTTTCTTTTTTGAAGTTCTTTATAAATAGGTTAAAAAAAGTAACCGAAGGGAAGTTCCGCCTCAAGAAAATTTCAGAGTAACAAATATTATTTAGAATTTCTCTTATATTTATGATAATAGGACTAGAATAGATTTTTTTTTTTTAATTTACAGGGGCTCATATTCTTCCTATTCTATTAATTTTTAATTCCAAACTTCCCCCAATCATTTTTTTTTTAATTTTTTTTTGAGCCAGTTAAGTCAAACTCACACACATTACATACTTAGGCTTCGTTTGGGACGACTTTTTTACTGCTTTCTAAAACGGAGTTTTAGTACAAATTTTTTTATTTTTGTACTAAAACTCCGTTTTAAAAAGCAATAAAAAAACCGTCCCAAACAAAGCCTTAAACTTCAAACCTAAAACTCCACTGATAACTAACGCTCTCAACTAATCTAAGTGAGTTATATTTTTATTGATGGTTCCAAACTGGATGAAATAAATGGTTGTTGATTTTTTCATGCAGCATATTTTAAGCTTTATAAAACCTGGAATTTGTGCTGTCCATACTTTTTAAGAGTATATTAAATAATTATTAATTTTAAATATTTGTGAAATCAATCACATCTCTCTCTCTCTCTCTCTCTCTCTCTCTCTCTCTCTCTCTCTCTCTCTTTCTTCTTCTAGCAATGTAAGAGTGATACATAAATGCTAAAGAACCAAATCTAGAAATCATATATTAGATACTCACCCATTAAAGAAACCACAAATATGGACATTGAAGTTTCGTTTGGGACAACTTTCTTACTGATTCTTAAAGCGGCTTTTTAATTGTTTTAAGAAGCAATAAGAAAATCGTCCCAAACGATGAGTTGTCCCGTCAAAGACCCTTTATAATAAGCTGTAGCCATCCCAAATAAATCTTTTATGTCACATTATAAAATCACCAAAACAAAGAGAGAAACCAACTATCTTCTATACAAATGTATCACCATTACCAAGAATCAATTAATCCCATATAACAAAGCATTATGCACTTTACAAACAAACTCTGAAATACTTCACTAAACCAACTGCAAACAATTCACCATATAATACTAAAAATGTCAGAAAATATCCTATATGTACATCCATTTACTCGCTTACATTATTGTTCGCATGTATGCAGTGTTCTGCTATTTCTCTCCCACAAAAGAGAGACCAAATACCTATAACTTACACACTAACATAATAATTTCAAAAAATTTAAGTGCATGTGCTAAGCACATACAGATCATGTACTTCAAAATTCATATTAATCAGCTAACTTACAGATAGTATAAGACTTTTTACCAATTCTGCATTCAATGCCGCTGAACTTGCAAGTAAAAACATGTCTTCCGGATGGGCTTGCTCTGTTTCTCAACTTATTGAGCTCTTCCGCTGCTGGTTTCAGCAAATTGCTCACATCACCTAATGCCCATGCTAGTGATATATGGGGCCGTGGATTCTGTCATCATTTACGGTTAAACAATCCATTCAGAAGTACAGATAGTAAAATATTATTTGATTATATATATATATACATTCATACACACACACCAATTAAGGTTTTTTTTTGGAACGGCTTTCTTACTGCTTCTTAAAGCAGCTTTTAAGATGCTGTACGAAGCATTAAGAAAGCCGTTCCAAACAAAGCCTAAGTTTAGCAGCTTGGAAAATGTTAAAAGAATTTTTAAAAAGAGGAACTTAGAAACAATAGAAAAGGGTAACAAACTATATGATTTCTAGGTTTTAGTTCAAGCTAGGATGAAGAAAAAATCAGCATAAAATATTGAAGCAGCAATAAATAACTAGCAGATCTAAGGTTAGCAAACGCCTCAGTAAATTATTATGGTAAGTTGAGATTAAAGGTTAGGAGCTGCATTATCCTACGAAGAAAAGATGCAAGACCATGCAAATTGCTAACTGCTAGACACTTGTTAATCTCAGATAACAATGAGCACAAAAGAGGTGTATCTATTCATTTTGGTGCAACATATGCGAATACCACAAAATAAATTAAAAAAATAAAATAAAATAAAATATTATTGAATATAAAGTCAAACCTTATAAAATTCGGGTAGACCATGCAACCTGTAGATCTCATCAACAATACAAATCTGCCTAGTAATCTGCCAAAAGCATAAACCAATCTTACTAAACAGGAGAGGCAAAAAAATGTTTTTAAATGTAAAGTTCAAAATAAGAAACGATGTTACAAGACGAAATTATTTGAAACCGAAATTGGATGCTGTCTAATATTTGATCGGAAAATAGTGTCACCAATATAAAAGTTGAAATTTAGATTCCAATAGAGGTGTGGAAATGCACAAGGAGATGAAAGAATTTCTCGGCTTACTAAACTTTTTAATATTATTTTGAGGACTAAAAAGATGTCAGATGAGTTGAGAATGAGTGTGTTGATTCTTATTTTTAAGAATAAAAGTGATGCACAAAATTGTGCGAATTATAGAGGAATTAAGTTAATATGTCATACTTTAAAACTATAGGAGAGTTATGGAGCATAGGTTAAGGCGTGATACTAAAGTTTCTCAAAATCAATTAGGATTCATGTCGGGTAGATCTACCATGGAAGCTATATATTTATTGAGAGGTTTAATGGAGAAGTATAGAGAGAATAAGGAGGATCTACATATGATTTTTATTGATTTAGAGAAAGCACATGATAAAGTTTCAAGAGAAGTGCAATGAAGAGTTTTAGAAAAAAAATAGGTTAATAATGCTTATATTCAAGTCATTAAGGATATGTATGCAAGAGTTGTTACTTGTGTTCAAACACAAGGTGATTTGACCAAGTATTTTCCTATTTCAGTTGGATTACATCAAGGATCAGCCTTAAGCCCATATCTTTTTGCTTTAGTCTTGGATGTTCTCACTAGACATTTGCAAGAGGATGTACGAAAAGTCCCCCTCAAACTTAAGGGAAAGTTCAATAAGATGATGGTTAGACCTGCAATACTTTATGGTGCAGAATGTTAGCCATTAAAAAAGAAGCATAATATTAAGTTAAGTGTCAAAGAGATGAGGATGCTCAAGTGGATGAGTGGCTTTACTCTTAGAGACAGGATATGAAATGAGCATATACGAGAAAAGTTTGGAGTAGCTCCAGTGGAAGATAAGATTAGAGAGTCATCATAGCTGATTTGGTCGCATAAAGCGGCAGCTTTCCAATGACCCGGTTAGGAATGTAAATGTATTAAATTTGGCTTATGTTAAGAAAGGTAGATGTAGACCTAAAGAGACTTGGTTAGATAATATTAGAAATGACCTTTCTTTATTAGATTTAAATTAGAATTTAACTCTTAACTTGACACAATGGAAAAAAAGGATTCATGTAGCCGACCCCACATAGTAGGATAAAGGCTTGATGTTGTTGTTGTTGTTGTAAGGTCAAGTTAGGTTGGCTACATTTTCATTGCATTGCAAAAATGATACGTGTGAAGAAAATGAAGCAAAATTTGCTGTTTTTCATTTGCACAAAAAAAATTGAAGTGCATGGAGTAGAAAGTGTTTACAACCTAAAATAAATGCATTCACTTCGCAACTATTTGAGCTTGCAAAGCGTGAGTATGCAAGCATTGTTTTAATTTACACAACTTTGTCGCCAACCTAGTAGACTTTAATAGCAGTATATAGCTCATGCCATCATCTCATATCAGGACTTTTTATACAACACGAATCAGAAAGCATTCTTGAAGTTTGAAATGCTCTTCGTTGAATTAACAGAGACAATATTTGATATGCATATCAATTATAAGTTTAGCATAATCCTAAGGTTGAAAAACATTCAAAATTGTACAAAATTTCAACGATAGCAGACAACATAAAATCAGCGTTGTAACAGAACAAAATTTTATTTAGTAAAAACATAGTGCAATACATCATCCTCATTAGCTTTATCCAAACAATTTGAGGTATTCATTATGAATCAACTTTCTACATTCATTCTCATTGAATGTCACAAGGAGTGTTAAACCTTTCACAAAAAAATAAATACGTAAATAAAAATACTCGTTAATAATCACGTGATCTCAAGCTCAAGCTCGAGTACAAAACACTTTACTCTACATTGAGTTGGCTCGATAATCATCCTAAAACCAGCAAAGCTATTTTCTAGCATTTTATTTGAGATAGATGATATTCCCATAGCTCCTATCATATGATCATTTCTCAATCTATCATTCCAAATTCTATCAAATTCAACTTAATATTCTCATTTATGGCATGCTAAATTTGGCTCTCAGTGACTTCTTTGTCGTCCAAAACTCAAGGTCTGATGACATAGTGAGCCTAATTGCAACTTCATAAAAATTACATTTAAGTTTCAATGATATTCTCTTGCCATACTCCCAAGGCACTTATAATTTTAACTATCAAGCCTTAGTTCTAAAAGTTATAGCCTATATCTCCACTCTTTTATATATTAGATATAATATATTAAAATCTATTACACTTAGATGTCACTTTATTTTCAAGCAACATTAATCAATACTTAATAAAATATCATAAATTGCATTTTTTTCTTTATAAAATCGAAGTCCATAATTCCTAAAACTATATTTCTAAAAATTTAAGTTATCTCAACAATGATATCACTAATTTGAATTATTTTAATTACAAAAAATATATACCAAAGTGCTTCAATTTGACCAACCTTTGTAAGTACCTTTTTGATCGATAAAAAAAGCACAAATTTAATGGTAATCCTTGGCATTCAACAACTCCTTAGTAAGGGTCTAAGTGAGCTTCGAACTCAACTCATTAATGAGCGCGTGCGTTGACCTTGTCTAGAAGCAAGCTCGAGCTCAAATTAAACTCCATATATTAAATGAGCTTTTGTTCAAGCTTGATGAAGCTAAGCTTGTTGGCTTACGAGTTAGCTTAACTATTTCCTATTTCTTCTTCACCATTCAATCTAGGTAATATAAATCCAACTTTCACAAAGTCCTTTCTTCTCTAGAAACAATTGAACCCATCGGCGCCTTCATAACAAACAACGAGCTCTCACAGCAACTTCCGTTGGTGCAACGACCTCCCGCTAGTGCCATCAATGTCTTCTTCAACAAACACCTGTTGCAACTTACTCCTACTCTCTACTGTCGATGTCATCTCCAATGGGTTCCTATCACAATTACCTTCCTTTGGGGTTCTCAAGCTCACAAGTCGATCTATAGCCCGCTCCAATTCCAACGAACCAAGCTCAAGCTCATCGTATGGAGAGATTATTACATGCGGACATCGGATGCAGAGCTACGTCCATACTCCAATAAAAATATGACGCATGGACTAGTATATTACTAGGTATTACTGTGTATTGGTGTGTATTAGCTGTGTATACTGTGTACTAGCTAATACATAGCAATACACAATTAATACACACAAATACACAATAATAACAAGTAATACACTAGTTCACGCATCATATTTTCATTGGACTCCGGATGTAGCTCTACGTCCGGTGTCCGCACGAAATAATTTCTCCATTGAATCAGCTTAATACAAGCTTAAACTCGAGTTTGTGTCTGCCATTGGATAGGAGAGCTGAGCTCAAATTTATTATAACTCCAGCTCAACTCAACTCTTTTGCAGTCATACTCCTAAGATTACTTAATAATACATCATAGATGTATACAATAGCTTCAACATGCATTTGGCATGCAATTTTTTTAATTAATATGCACAAAATCAATTCTTATAATAATTGATTATATGTCTTCTAAAGGTCAATAAAAATCATATAAAATATTTTTTACTCTATTATTTTCTATTAATTATGTTAGCACAAAGATGCCACCATAAGGGGTCTTTCTAATTGATCATTTGATACAAATAAATTTTTTCAAAGTATGGTGCCATTACTCTATTATAACTTTATACTATAACTCATAAGCTTAATTACCACGTAAGTACCATAATCCTAAATGTCTTTTTCTATTCTTGAATATTAGTACTTAAATGTTTCTTCTCTAATCCTTTGATATTTTCTTAATCTTTAAAATTCCTTTAAAAAGATTCATTAACCAAATAGCTCCATTTTGCCCATAACTCATAAAGTCTCTATGGGTATCTCACATGGATCTAAAACTTCACTACATGCATCTTCTTCAAACCCAACTACACTTAACCCTTTTTTTAACAACCTAAAATGCATATAATTGGTTCGCTAATTATGCTCTTTGTAAAAAAAAAAAACTTCTTTAAAATTTCTTCTAATAAGTCCTCAAAATAGCATTTCTATATTTACTTGATATATTCATTTTTTAACTATGATCTTAAAATTTTCATTTTTAAAGCATCTACCTTAATTAAAAACTTTATCTCTCTCATATTTTGCCTTCTTTATTTTATATACCTCATTTTCTATTTTTTTTTAATTCATAGTTTATTGAATAAAATAATTAAATTTTAGTTTTTATTTAGCTTATTATCTTCTTGGAAGATTTGTAGCTTCCATACAACCACTAATTTGATGAAGTTCTATATGATTACACTCGACAAAAATCTCAAACAAATAAATGACCTGATCAAATTGTTTTTGCATAGTTTTATATGATTTTATAATTTAATCTTTTATTTTTGGACTCGCCTATGAAAAAATACCTACAATCATAGGATGTGTCCTTCAGATTTTTCTTTTACAAAATTATTTGGCTCGACTCATAGTTAGACGGCTCAAGGCATGTGTTCAATAAAACCGCTCAAATTACTTGATAAACATCAATTTTAGGGTCTCATTCGATTCATTGCTAATGTAGGTTCATTTTTTATTCTCAGTCATTGTTCGGTTGTTTCAACCTCTTGTTCTAATATTTTCATCCTAATGGTTCATACACTATTCTTGGACTTTCAATTATGCTAAATTAGTTGCTAGATTCATGTTCGAATTGTTGTTTGGGGCATTAAGGCCTATTTTGCACCTAAAGTTGTTGTTCCTTACTCTGCCCAATTTAGGACACCAATATCATGTGTGTATTTTGTCCTGCGGAACATCATACCTATGAGAAAACAAAATGTGGACCATCCTACTTCCTCCTTATTTACAATGACTTTTGCAATGGTCTGCATTGCAACGAATCAGGTCCATCATATAAGCACATTATTTGCTAACCATATTTTGTAATTGTAGTATCTATCATATTTTTGCAACAACTTCATTGCTTAATGATCATATCATTTGAGATTTGGCCTTATCTTTTGTACCCAAGCAATCTTATGAGTTATGCCAAAATTTTATAAATAGGTTAAGGTGCGTACATAATGAAATATTTGACACAATTTCCTTTGACAGTGGTTATCTAGAGTTGACTTAATGGTGTTGTGGCAATGGATTTTTAACTTGTATACCTTGCTCTAGGCAGTATTCCTTAGCATTATCTTTAAAAAAAATTTGAAGGAAACAAAATTTGCAATATTTTTTTAACGCAGAAGTTTCTAGTTTCTACATTCCATGCGTGGCTTGCATGTACGATTCTTGTGGCTGGACTAATGTCTAGCGTGTTTGGTGCTGCAAGTTGCGTTTGTGCAAGTCTTCTAGAAAGGAACTTGCAATTTAATGAGCCATGCACACCCTAAGAGGCTTACAAGATTGGGATTAACAATAGTTGTAGATGGGAATTTGGGGATCTTAAATTAAAGTTGAATAAACTATTAACTTCTGAGATTTAGTTGATGTGACTACTCAATTTTTTTACATGTATTCATACCACGCATCATATCAAATGCACTAAGAAACCAGTCCTAAATCATCCTAGATTTTGTTCTACTTGGTGGTTCCTTTCCTAAAAACTTTTTTAGTGATTTGCGGGAGTTCTTGATTTGATACAATTTATCACAACAAGACTTTCAATTGCGGCATCAAATTTCAATGTTTTCAATTGTTCTTTTGGTTTAATTTTCACATTGATTTCTTTTATTTAATCAATCATTAAGTTATCATTTGGCATAAAATATATGTATTTTTTTTAATACACAAAAAATTAGCAAATAATTATTTAATTAGTGTTCTTTCTAATTGCAAATTTATGTGGTTTCATACATTGAAATATTGCATCATTTAATTGCATTAAGAACTAAAGACCATAATACGTTCAACAACACTAAGCCTCAGTAGTATTTATTTTTCATCACTTTAAACTCACATTTTTCATCTTTAATAAAAAGGTTTAGTAACTCAATTGTTGCTATAAAGTGGATGTGGCCTTCCAATGCTAATAAAGCACAAATTGAATTAAATACTTAAGTATAAACTAAATCACCGGAGGTGTTTATGAAAAATGTATGGCATTGTTGGATGCCTTCCAAAAAAACTAACAGAAAAAAAAAAAAAACATACAAAAGCGCGTACAGGTTTAAATAAAAAAATGGGCAGCTGAGGGGTCTCAAGCACAACAAACGTTAATTGTTAACATCCAAGACCAGATATTTCTAGTAAAAAAGAATACGCATCCAAGCCTGAGTAGTAACATCATAAATTCATAATAAAGATAGTTCTTTGTTAAAATGGAAAGTTGTACCAAGTATGGTAATAGGAAGCTCGAATATATACCTCTAATAAACCTCCCCCAGTAACTTCCAATGAAAGAAATGACCGTGTAAGTTCATCATTGACAAAAGCTTCCCATTTATTGAATTCCATCCAGTATCTGTCATCAATGGTCAAAAGGGAAAACAAGACAGCATTTCAAGGAAGGATAAAACCAAATGAAGCATAAAGAATCAATAGGCAGTCATTTGAAAAATTCTGAAAGCTTTTGTCAACTGAGTGCATCACCTCACCTTCTCTGAAACTGCAACCTTTGACGAAGCATGGCCACAATTGAGTCAATTTGATGAACTTTAATAGGAACAGGTCTCCCCAAACTAATATGAAATTCCTTTCCTAAAATTAGTTGTTCAAACTTTTCATCATCTTTGCACAACTCATTAAGCGCAATATCTACGTCAATAACATAAAGGTCCGATACAAGAGATGAAATTATCTTCATAGATGAACTCAGCTGCTTCCTTGTCATAGATGGTATCCGAACTGCATAAAGAACAACAAATTTTGCTCTTCATTCAGAACAATTTGCCAGAGACCTTTTGCTTATGAAATAATAATTATGGCTGCATATGCATTAGTTAAGACAAGAATCAGGTGAATATCACAAAAAAGAAAATTTAATAACTCGAAGATGCAGGAAGTTTAGATGCAGTGGCATATGAGCATCTAAAATATTGAGCTTACAAGAGAGTTTATAACCTGACACCCCGCGAAAAGAAACCTATATGATATGGGATGAAAATTTTCAGGTCGAGAATTATGAATATTGTTAGACAGAGGTATGAAGCGTAATGAGAGCATGTAGAGAGGCCTTACTTGGCAGTGTAAGAAAAAATTCAGTATAAATCTAGTCTCTGAATTTAAGGGTATAGATTTTAAAGAAAAAATAATACTTTTAAATGTTGATAAGGAAAATGGCCTTTTCATGAAATGACAGCACCTGATATTGGCAGGACCAAATTAGAATGGGAGTCTCCCAGGTCCCCTATCTGTGAGCTTCTCAATGGCAGGTTTTAAGGAGCGAGCATTGTGAACCCTTTCAACTGAGTGGAGCTGAGAAACTGGTTGGAAGCCTCGAAGCATTGGAGACATAAAAAAAGGTATTTGGATGAAAGGTGCAGCAAATGCGGGGTGTATTTTATTGTATTCTTAGTATTTCATTTAATGCAAGTTCATATGTAACAGAAATGCTCCATCTCCCAACCCACTGGATAGTTGGAACATGGTCACTTAAGTCAGTTTTCTATGATTTTAAAGGTGCCACATCTCTATACTTTTGCCAAAAAATTATAGATACCCTAAGATCCCACCAAAAAAAAGGATTAAAAAAAAACTAAAAACATAGGATTGGAACTCTGGATCTAATCATTTGCCTCAGGAAGGGAGAGCTTGCAAGATCTATGATCCAGGAGTTGTCTATAAAGTAAAATATTATCATCACTCGATAGAAGGATGGGTGACTGTTTCCCTGATAAATCAAACAGTTTTGTTCAATTACAATTGATCATGTATTGTAAATCCTAGTCTGTCAGATGGACTTTGGAGACCAAGCTGTATTAGGAAAAGAAAAAATTTCAAGAAAAAAAAAAATGATAAAATTGAATGTTGCAGGTGTCACTACATCAATGTGTCATAAACTCCACTAACCTAAAAAGGCAAAACATGATAATTGTAAGTTCCGAGTCTACATTCGGAAATCAAAGTGGTAAGACCAACCATTCAAGCTCAAATTATCAGGCATGCAAATTATAAATTCTACCCCGAAATATTGTATTGAACCACCATATGCCTTTTGTTGTCTTAAAACATGAAAAAATCAAGGAACAACAAGGTAGTCCAGTTAAAATCTATAGTGGGATCGCCCACAAATGAAACATCAAACAACTTCAATTCTCTGCACAAAGTACCAATGCACAGTAGAGTCAATCATCAGAAACTAGAGCTAATACTAGACTCGTCATATTATTGTTGCCTCCTATACAATAAAGCCTACCCGCCAGAGAATCTCCATTTTATTGACAAGAACAATATCCAAAACATAAGGAATAAGAATATCTTCATCACTGCCACCATTAGGGCTGTCAAAAGCGGGTTTTGGGTCAGATTCGGGTCCAACCCAAATCTGACCCGGCACTGTCCAGGTCAACACGAGCGACCCGTTTTTAGAAACGGGTCATTTAATCAGACCCGAACCCGACCCGCTTCAGGTCCGGGTCAACCCGACATGACCCGTCTAACCCGGAATTCATTAAAATCTGGGTTTTTAATGCACCAAACAGTGAAAAAACTGACAAATAAAAGCAGTTAACAGCACTAACAGCAGGTTTAAATTATGAATAAATTAAGAAATCATTTACAAATTACTTAAATATGTAAGGCTGCTAGGGTTTTTTATGTGGGGTTTTGTCAATTCACTTTTGGACCAAGTTCCACGAACCTCAAACCAATAGTATTTGGTTCAATTCCTGAAATAGTATAGCACCAAGAGAAATTAGCTTGATTTGCACTTCTATATGGGCATTTCAATTTGGCAATGACAATCTTGCCAGGTTGGCACCAAAGGCTATGCAAGGGATGCCATTAATTGATATCTTTTACGTAAATATGTCATTAATTGATGTATCAGTATGGTTTTTTTTATGGTTGTGAATTATGTGATTTGGGTGATGGCAAGGGATACCAATCTAAATTTAGGAGCGTGTAAAAGCTAAGGACTGGTGCACCCTAGGTGGAGAAACATATGGATAGAATGTCATGTTAGCGTTGGATTAAACCAACTGGAAATAGAGAAAAATTCTGTTATGTGCAAAGATGAACAATGGTGAGAACAATTCAACCTAACAATTTTACATGATTTGGACCACGATAGGGCTCAAGACATTCGTGGACTGGATGCAAGGGATGGCACTAACGTGGTTGCTCTATTACAATGCCATCTAGGAAATAGAACAAAGATGGTTAAGCTGTAGATTGATAGGAAGGGCAGAAGTTTGCATGTTGTGGTCATGGCAAGATTAGGTGCATGCAACAGTAGCCTTGCAGCAAAGGACTCTAAGGTTCCGGCACAAGCTACTATCTAAAGAATATGAAGGGGGCAATCCTCCTAGAAACACGAAATCCTCAAGGCAATAACCCTCTTGACTAGAGGATTTCAATAAACTTACAATTGATGACTACAACATCAAACGAAAGACGAGTGATGGAATATAAAAGCCTTATTTGATGTAGTCTAATTTGATTACATGGAAAAAGATAGCCTAATTTGATTACCCTGTAAGTAAAGTTGCACTTAAATGCTCTGAGATCTATGGTAACTTTAATTAGCCTACATTAGCCTTGATTGACCAACCTAGTGATTCTGGCTAGTTTCGATCGATCCATTATGACCTCCATTGATCCAATTTGAGATTTTTATGTGTTCATAAAGATTCTTGCTGATTAATCAACCCGCATCCATCATCATTTGAGCACCACAAAACCCTTCATATATTTCCATAATTCGATTTACATTTAGTTCAATGACATTAGTCAAGTTGAGTATACCAGTCTTTTCTTAAAATCAAACAGCTATTTTCAAACCTTTCAGACATGAGCAAAACAAAGAGAAACATCTGCCAGTAAAAGAAAGTAACATAAGAAAAGCAATTGAATATCATTTTAAAATGCTACAAGCATGCAAAAAATATATATGAGAATAAGGTTTCACATAAGAATGCAATGGATATCCCATTGGCCTAAGGCCTCACATATATCAAGCAAATAGAATGGAAAACGCTAAAATGTAAATAAGCAGAAAAACCTGGGATGAAAATATGTAGTGCATAGTTTCCTTGAATATGTGGGAAGCTCCTGACACGGTTCCCTTGGCAACTTGTAAAATCTGTACAGCATTACAACAGTCTTGGTGACCTCTCAGCATTCTTGGAAAAAGAATCAACCTAAAGTAATAAATGAGGCAGTATAACAAATTTTACCTGAAAAGAAAAAAATAGTTTATTGGATTTAACTTATCCTATAAAAGCTAGCTTTTTTATCAGTGTCTAGCTAATGAACCATCCCTTCTTTTTTTGTTTTTGTCTTCAATAGTTTATCTGTAACTCAAAGGGTTAACCCCAGATTATTGTGAACTAATCCACACAAATTGCACGAAATCTGCTTTGCCAACAAAGAAAATGTTGCAATTTTACTTTAGATTCTCAGAGAAAATAAAAAACTAATATGCTTTAGGTAGTCAAAAAGCCCCAAAGATGATTCATCATACAAAGCACTTGTTTTTGTTCTTACGCGTTAAGATAATAAAAATATCATACTTATGATACTTATGAAAATGATGAAGAAGAGAAAAAAGGTAAGATACCCAAAGAATTTTGGGGTTGTAGTAGGTCAATGGGAGGCGGAGGCAGGCAGATAGACTCCTTAGGTTTTGGGGTCAGCCTCGGAGCAGTGCTCGTTCTCTCGCTTGATCCACGGGAATCATCTGAGTCCGACTCCGAGCCATAACTGGCTCTGAGCGCTTCCATCCGTCTACGGCGCTCTCTTATTCTTTTTACTTCCAGAAAAGTTCTCCAGCTATGAAATTTTGATCGATGCTACTTCAAGAATAGGCTGAATAGCAATCTTAACGATGCCGGATTTACGCCAGATTTGGGTTAAATCCTGCCAAAAGCCAAAACAAAGCAAAATTAAATCCCACGGTAAGTTTACGCTTCAGTTCACGGCGTTTTCCCCCATTCATCTTAAATCCCGGATTTACTATATCCGGTTGTTCGGCGGATTTATGGTATTTGGCCGAAGAAGCGTGCGAAAGAGGAGAAAGATCATTACCTCCGTCGTGACTTTCAATCCGACAGGAACAACGTCGTCGGCGAAGGAGGTGAAGAAGCTTTCGTTATCGTTAGCGACTGTATCCAAAATTAGTTCTCGCGAAGCACGGAAGCCGCAAGGAAGAAATGGCGGCGAACATATATGCAGCTCATGGCAGCGCTTGAAATTTACGGAACTTTATGGGCAAATTAGGTCAAAGGGAAGCTGGGCCTACAGTCACCTTTTTGGACAATTGTAAGCCTCTATTCCTTTAGCTTACACATCCATTGGCCCACACATTCGTATATTTTAATCCAGCCCAATTTAAAACTTTAATATTTTAGGTTTTTTTTCTAAGTTTAATAGAGAAAAATGAATTTAGAGAGGGGACAAGAGGTGTAGATTGTTTGCTAGAGAAATTATTACATGCAGTCACTAGAGAATATTTGGAGGCAAATCAAAACACGTCACGTCACTTTTTTGTTGTGTATCGCAATATATTGGTGATGCGGCACATTCTGATTTACTTCAGGACAGTTCGTTGATCGCACGTAACAATTTCTCCGTTTGAGATGGCTGAAAATTTTTTTAAAGGTGGTTATAAAATTATTGTTTTGAACTCACTACAAAAAGTAATTTTCTAGCATAGAAATTTCCTGGAAAAAAAAAAAGCCAAATAAAATATTTGTTCGTGAACTGAAAAGCAAAATAGTAAGTAAATTATCTCAAATGAAGTCTATATATTTCCAGTTTGTTTGTTTTTTAATATTTTAATGGTATTCACTATTCATACGCTTGGTCATATTATTTATTATCATTACATTTTTAAAATTTTTAAACAAAAAAAAAAGTAAATTTAGGTGAAAAGACCTCTTATCATGGTTACTTTGACGTCTACTAACTTCACCACCTACCAATGATACCAACACAAACCATCACTTATAAAATCGATAAACGCTATCAACATCAACTACGACCCCACAATTTCAGCAATTAGATTTATGTTGTACTCTTGCTAAATAGCTCTTCCCACTCCAACAAACCAATATATTCTTAATAGCGTATGAATGACTTCGCGCAAGAAAAGGCAAGGCTTCCCTTGTAATCAAATAAAAATACTAATGGAATCATTTTAACTAGATATGACCAAGAAATTTTATTTTTTCCTAAAATTTTTTATGTAAAAACTCTGATATCTTTTATAATTCTTGCATCTCTCATCTCTTATATGTGGTCTTAATCATCATAAAAAACTAAGACGGTAAACTCTCTGACTCTACTACCATGAATATTCTCGCACGCAGCAATATTAATTTCTAAAAGTATTTTAAAATTTTATTGATATTTTTAATATTGAAATTGCTAAACTATCTTATTATCCATATTTGTAAACATTTGGTAAACATTCTGCTCGAAATAACTTTTCATTGTTACTGATGATCACCGCACAAAAAAATATAATCATAATACGCTTGAACTCCAAGGTCGAGCTGATAGCAAGGAGACCCGTAAGTTATCTAAATATTAGCCATAAAATTTAATTTAAATGAATATGCAACCCCGCTTGATTATCATGAAGCATAATATTTCTCTTATAAACATGAGCTTCATTTTAAACATCTTTCTTACTGCCTTAAGGAAATTTCTAGTAAAAAAAGTTGAAAAAATTTGTGCTTGAAAAATACTTTAAGAAACAGTAAAAAAATCATCCCAAACGAAACCATATGAACCAATCAATGCTAGTAAACATAACACACCCTTTCTCATTATGAAGAAGATAAATAAACATGTTTCAATCACAACAAATAATGAAATAACTAAAATTTCATTTGGGACAGCTTTTTTGGTGATTCTTAAAACAGTTTTTTTTAGTAAAAACCTTTTATTAAAAACTTTTTTAAGAAACAATTAAAAATCTCAAATAAAGTCAAAGGTTTAATTTTGATCAGCTTTCCTCCTGTTTTTTAAAATAATTTTTTAATACAAAAGTTAAATTTTTTTAACTAAAAAGTCACTTTAAGAAGCAGCAAAATAGCCGTCCCAAACGAAGCCTAAATGAAGTCAAATAAGCCAGAGCAGATTATTGCTTTATGCCATGAAAGAAAGCCGAAAATAAACAGGCAAATTTCCAGCAGATTGGTTACAAAGTTTCATGTCCACGGAAGATTATCACACAGGCCTGATGCGGATATGTGGTCCAATAGTTGAAAAAGATTATTATTTCTCGAAACCATGAAATTTGGGCCACATTTTATCATTTTCATTCCTCATTAAAAAAAAAAAAAAAAAACAGAACCATTCGAAGAATCAATTAATCAAAAAACCGTTCAAGCCCCAAAAAAAAAGACATCCATAGTCAAATAAGTGAGTTGAAACCTTACATAATGGACCTTAGAAATAAGAAGATACAGATCTAGAAGAGGCTTCAGATGGTAAAAAACTAGGAGTTCTTCACAGATTTTTCAGACCAGATAGATCATTTCCTAATTTTTTTTACATGAACACATTTCCATAAGTATCATTCAAACGGACAAACCAGTTAAAGTAATCAGGTAGCCATCCGTATAATTTAAAACCTGTAGCTACCGTAGCCTCCCAGTCCTGAAGATCCATATCCACCAAGCGATGATGCAGAGAGTGAAGATGAGTAGTCCGACCTACCAAGATGAGAATACGAAGATCTCAAGCCTGTATCAAGGCTTCCATAGCTGCTAGGCGCTGGGTCCTTATGTCCGGCAATAAATTCCTGGCCAAAGTTCAAACCATCATTACTTAAAAGCTGGGGATTCCAAAACTGAATGTGGAAAAAAAAAAGGCAATAGAAATGTAAGTATCACCTGGATGAGCTGCTGAGCCATCTGAACTTGCGAGGCGCTGCCTTTAATTTCAACTGTAATTTCGTCGGGTATTCCTCGCGTTTCCTGAACAGTAAGAACCGCCCCGCTGGTGCGCCTTATATATGCTATATTGCCCCCTCCAATACCAATGATGTCCTCTGCATATGATAATGGTATTTGCATTGTCTGTGTCACCTGAAATCCGGAAGTAAAGGATCATGCAAAGAAAATGGAAAGGCATATCAAGAACAGCTTGTAGAAAACTCGAAGGATTATCAATGCAGAATTAGAACAAAATATAGCAAAAAAATATGAAATTAAAAACTTTACTCCCTGTTAACATAATCCAAACTCATCCAAAGTAACTATTTGGTTTTCTATCACATTATCTTAACCTCCAAAATATATTTCATCATTTAAAAAGATATCACATTACTTCAATTAAATAAAAATATTTATTAGATAAATATTTTATTTCATAATAATACAAATAAATCAAAATATCTTTAACTGATTTTCTATTAGAGGATTTGCAATCTTTGTGTATCTATATATCTAACATAGTAACAAAAAAATAAAAAATAAAAATAAAAATAAAAAAAAATAAAAAAAAAAATATCTAACATAGTAACATCTAAACCTTAACATTACTTATGCACCACTTTAATGTCTAAACTATATCAAATCATGTATAATATTAAAAAATAAAAAATATTTACATAACTTATAAATAATAGATTTAAAATATAATTACTATTTGCTCAAAAAATGTATACATATAACCGTTAAATTTTAAGATTTGTGCACTTGATACAAATGCATTTTTACAAGTTTAAAGTAGCGGATCTAACCATCAATTACCCAATGTTAGGGGAATTAAATGCTATAAAGCCAACATATACCATTAAACATTTGAAATCGTATATAACAATTTGAAGCAGTTATCAAAAGAATTTCTTTGGTTTTGTTTGGGGTAACTTGTGTTTTCTGCTTCTATTTTTTATTCTGTTTTATTTTGGCATAAAATAAAACATATCTGTTATCTTAAAAGCATGCTTTTGTTCTTTTATTGAATTTTGAATAAGTTTATTTATGCAGAGATGGTTGTCGACTAGACGAGGCAGTGGAGACAGTGGGCAAGGCGATGATGGTGGCTGCCATACTTGTTTTTAAAACAACTCAGAGTTGTTATGAATGTTTTTAAAAATATCTTGATTTGTTTTTTAAAACAAAAAATAAACAGTTAAAACACATTATACAAATATGATTTTAAAAAACTAAAATAAAAAATAAAAGTGATCCAAAACAAGTCCTATAAATTACAATATCAGATCAACCCAAACAAAAGCAACAGAAAAAAGCATAAAATAGAACACAAACCTGAGTTACTAAAGGACCACCAGTTCGACCCAGGCCTGAACCTGAAGATCTCAACCCAGAGAGAGCGGGATCTTGCCCATATAATGAAAGACTACTGCGCTGAAACTGAGAATCCAACTGAGGTTCGTGATCATGGTACAGAGAACTTCGCTTCACCGGAAGTTCATATTCATTGCCAATCCCAGTTTGGGAAGAATGCATTAAGGACTGTGTCTTGTTACTCCATTCGTCAGGTTCACGATCCTGAACGGCTGGATTTTTCAACTAAAGGTAACAAGGGAAAGTTAACAGCAAAACACATAACAAATATCAGTTAACCATCAGTCATAACACAGCCGAATACCAACTAAGGCTTCGTTTGGGACAGCTTTTTTATTGCTTCTCGAAGCATCTTTCTAGTACAAAAAATTTAATTTTTATGCTAAAAAGCTGCTTCGAAAAGCAGTAAAAAGCTGTTCCAAACAAAGCCTAAATAAAAGTGATATGAGCTTACACTTTTTTCAAATAAAGGAAGTACGCCATGATCAACCAAAAACTTCCGGAGATGCCCCGCAACTGCCTCAAGTGTTTTTAGTACCTTCAGAGTCTCCCCGTGGATATCTACAACTCTCTCATCCCCAGTAGCATAATACGGAAGTTCATCTAGCAAGGAAAAATCATTACAAGAATTCCATGCATGCCGATATATTATTAGTACAAAAACTTGATGACATGAACAGAACGAAAAGGAATTCATGCAGCACCTAGAGTTGTTAACTTTCCATGCTTGGCTGCATTGCAACTAGTAAACCAATTTTGCACCCCTTATTTGCCCAGTTTGGTGCCACGTAGCAGTTAGATTTAATAGCTAAAAAAATAATAATAATGATGCTGGGCATAGGCTATGCAGCACGGACACTTATAAGCACCTCTCATGTCTGTGTAAGATATGGATGCGATTCTAACACCCCCAACATCTCAGAAATTATGTCAAAAGTATTCAAGTAAGAAATTTGACTCCAAGACATACCAAACACTATGGGACATTGGCGGGGCACGCAAAAAATATGGAACTCAAAATCAAATAAATTCAGAACTCAAAATCCAAAACATGCCAATGAACAAATGCTCATATTTCTTATTCTAGTTGACCAAGCCATATGTGATAAGTATCACATCTGCCTCTTCGTTGAGATATATTAAATCTCTACCTCTTCCTTTGAAGACAAAGAGGAACATGCGAGGCCATGCAATCGACTGTGCCCTCGTGTCCCATCTTCATCAAAGCTATATCGTGCCGCCTCCTTTGCTTTGAAGCTGAAGATAATCATGCGAACACGTATGGCCATTTGTGCCCTAACCAGCCATCTCTACCTATTATTCTACAAGAAGCCTTCTTATACACATAGCAAGCACACAACTCTTATGAACCTCCCTCAAGCGCTAGCCAACAACTTGGCGTTACAATGCAAGAAGGTAAGAAATGCATAATTTATTTATTTTTTCCTTCTGCTCGCGACATGTGATATCACTGTTTGAAAAAAATGGAGCTATTACTTAGGGTTAAGCATGTCATTAATCACAATATTCAATTTTCAATTAAATAAATCTTTTCGTGCACTACTTCACTCGTAATGGGTTCATAATAGCAATCTGAAATATCTTCCTTTTGTTAGTATGTGTGAGAAAAAGCTCTTTGATACGCCGTGGAAGAAATATCAACAAGAAAATAGTAGAAAAATGCAAAAATTGGAGGAATTATGGCTGATTTTTTTTATTAATAAATCAACAAGAAACAGGCACAACCAATCTACAATTAGAGAGGCTCTCCTAAATAACCTAAACGCTGCTAGGAAGCCCTCAAAGAAAAAGAACTACAACACTAACCAAATCAAAACATGCATGAAGAAAAATAAACCCTAGACCCCTCAAATAAGCTCTCCAATTGCTTCCAAAACATATTTGTTTCCTTAAAAATTTCCTTCTTTAATTTAAATTCAATTAGAAAATCTTCCCCTTTTTAATTTGAATTCAATTAGAAAATATTTCCCTCTTTACTTTAAATTCAATTAAGAAATTTTTTCCTCTTTAATTTGAATTCAATTAGGACATCTTTCTTTAATTGATCCTCTCCTTAATTCCTCTCCTAACCCACCCCTTCCCCCCCTCACGCGGCTACTGCAGTATCAATACTCACCCCCTCGAAATGCACCTTAACCTCAAGGTGGAAGGATGGAATTGTCTCCTGATCATCTCATATGACTCTTATGTAGCTTCATACTCAGGAAGATCCTTCCATCAACTAGGACTTCTTTTGCTCATGTCGTCCCTTGTCGTGTATCAACGATCACTGTGGATTCAAAAATCACATCCAAGTTCTCTTTCAATGTCGCCGGTAAGATTGGTACACTGGTCATAATTGTCTTCAACTCCTGAAATGCTCGTGTCACTTCCTCCTCCCACTTGAAGTTGATCTTCTTTAATTTCTCTATTAAAAGTCTTACAATGGTGTCGAATCCTTTCACAAACTTCTAATAGTAACTAGTGAGTCCTAAGAACCCCCGCAGCACTCTCAAGTTCTTAGGAAGATGCCAGTCCACCATGGCCTAAATATTAGACTAGTCAGCTAATACCCCTTTCTGAATACTAAATGCCCCAAAAACTCTACCTGCGATTGCCCAAATGTGCACTTCTTCCAATTGGCAAATAGCTAGTGTTCCCTCAAGGTTTCCAGAATGGTTTTCAAGTGTTCAAAGTGTTCTATCTTTGTCCTATTGTATATTAGGATGTCATCAAAGAACATTAAAACAAATATTCTGAGATGTAGCTGGAAAACTCCGTTCATCAGCGACTAGAATGTTAGGGGCATAGTGAGATCAAAATGCATAACCAAGAACTCGCAGTGCCCTTCATGAGTCCTAAAGGCCATCTTATGTACATTTGTTGCCTTCACTCTGATTTGTTGTATCCTAACTTCAAATCGATATCTTAGAGAAGATCACTGTTCCAAATAACTCATCCAAGAGTTCATCATTCACTTGAATGGAAAACTTGTCTAACATTATTTCCTCATTAAGAGCCATATAATTCACACAGAACCTCCAACTGTCATCTTTCTTCTTCACCAATAAGACTGGGCAAGAGAAACGACTCACACTAGGCCTTATAACCCTTGCTTTCATCATCTCCCTGATCAACCTCTCTATTTCATCTTTTTTGATATGTGGGTAATGGTAAAGTCTAACAGTTAAAGGAGAGGTCTCCTATTTTAGGTTAATAGCGTACATGTGCTCTATTAATGGTGGTAACCCAACCGGAGGTTGAAATACATTCGAATATTGTTGTAGAATTTGCTCAACCTCAACTGGAATTTCCCTTGCCTCCTGTTATTAGACCCTCTATATGCTATGTAATTCCACCAAATACCCCAAACCTCTACTCTGGATCATCCAGAGCATGGTCTTCAATAATAATGTGGTCTTACACAACCTAGCATCCCCTTGAAACACTACCTTCTTCCCCACTACTTCGATTTCCATGGTTAAGGATTTCCAGTTCACCTTTATATCCCCCATAGTTTGCAGCCACTTCATCCAAGAAACACATATGTGCTTCCCAAGTCCATGTGAAGGAAGTCTTCCACCACCAAAATTTCATGTAAGGTTGTCATCACTCCTTTGCATATCCTGGAACTCCTCTCTATCTTGCTCGTCCCCATCATCACCCCACAACCACCATTTTTTACCAACTTCAATCTCAATCCGTCCAGAACCCAATTCGAGATAAAGTTATGTGTGGCTTCACTATCCACTAGCACCACCACTGACTGCTCTCTGAATTGTGATTTGGAGAAAATCCCACCACAGAGTTCAGGGATGCTTCTGTCACATCTAAATGTAATTGTTCTATTTCCTCTGTGATTTCCTCCAGCTCATCCCCGCTCTCCTCTTCCCCTCCTGGACCAGCAAGACCTGAATGGCTCATCACACCTGAAGCATAACCCTTTCGCTCCCCTATCTTGTACCTCTGCTTCTGTGAGACGCTTCAAATTACCTCCAGGACGAACTCCAGTGCTTTTCTCCCTTCGTGCTTCCCTTTGAAACGACATCGTCTAGGTCCTCAGTACTAGTGTTGTAGAGGTATTTTTGAAATCCCTCCCATGGTATTGCTTCAACCAGACATTTCTCTCCGATGTTTTGCTTCCACCCTTTGTGCTAGTTCCATGGTCTCCCTCAACCCCCTAGGTCTCGACATTGAACACCCTAAGCTATGCATGTTTATTCTCCTTAAGGCCCTTCATGAAATTCCCCTCCAAGCCTTCCTCAGAAATTCCCCTCAGCCTACCCGACAATAGCTCAAATTTCTCCTGGTACTCCTGATTATTCCCTCCTAAGTTAAGGTATAAAACTGCTCGTGGAGCTCTCCATCCTGGATGCGGTGAAAACGTTCCACAATCCTTAAATTCTACCCAAACATAGATCGGATACCTAGTTTACTTCATTATACGTTTACCTTAAAATCGGACATAAAACGGTTGAATATTGCCTCAAATGGTTGTTTTCTTCAACAATTAAGGATTAACTATCTGCTATAGCCCTTTATTATCATTATTTTTGCTCTCATGAAATTCAAGGTTAACTTATAAACTCTTAATTTTTTTAACTTTTTTTAGATAATAACTTCTAAAATGTGTATTGTGTGAATGGTAACAATCCCATAGAGCATGAGATAAAATATTTATGAGTATATGCTACCAAATTAGACAGTGGGAGCAATTGCATTTGAGGCAATGTAGACTTTTAATATCATTTTTTAACCGGGTTTATTTATCTTTTATTAGTCATGTTTATTTTTCTTTTGTCATTATAAATTTTCTTTTATGATAATATACTTCAATTTGTGATGCCTTTATTAAAATAATAATAAAATTATATATCTTATATTAATAATTTATAAATATAACATTGATTCCATGAGGAGTAAAGTCTTATTTTTTATAGTTATATCATGTCAATGCGTTCGTATTATGTTGTGTATATGTCCCCGTGTCCATGTTTCATAGGATGAAGGTAATGAAACATTGTTATATTATATGAAAGCAAAAAAGATTAACCAATCTAAATATAAGATATGCTAGTATGGGTTTCATCTGTGATGTTCCCGAAGACTTTATAATCAATCTTAAAAAACCATGAATGAAAGTGCCATTAAATATTTAGGAAATATAATTAGTTTGGAAAAAGTATATATCATCTTGAATGCTATGTGCATATTTCGTTTCATTAGTTCTTTGATAATTAGCAGAGATGAGGATGCTCAGGTGGCTAAGTGGCTTTACCCTCAGAGATAGGATACGAAATGAGCATATACGTGAAAAGGTTGGAGTAGCTCCAGTAGAAGATAAGATTAGAGAGAGTCGCCTTAGATGGTTTGGTCACATAAAAAGGCGGTCTTCCGATGACCCGGTTAGGAGAGTAGAGGTATTAGATTTGACTTGTGTTAAGAAAGGTAGGGGTAGACCTAAAAAGACTTGGTTAGAAAATATTAGGAATGACCTTTATTTATTAGATTTAAACAAGAATTTGACTTTTAATAGGACACAATGGAGAAAAAGGATTCATGTAGCTGACCCCACGTAGTGGGATAAAGGCTTGATATTGTTGTTGTTAGTTAGTTCTTTGATAATTAGCCTCTCATCATTAAAATCACCCCAAAAAATGAAGTCAATAGAATCCAGATTGAAAATTTACAAATAATTCAAAAAAAAAAAGTGACAATGATAAAAGTTATGTGGATAAAGTGCATGAACTTCACACAAATTCATGTTCGCAATCACGTAATCTGATTCAACTAATCATTCAGAAACAACACATTTTGACAAGAAATGAAGAAAGAAAACAAATCCCAACTATCACACCTATAAACAAAATAGGTATATAGCAGTGATTAACTTCATAAACAGTAATAAGATTTCAAATAAATCAATAAGCCATACAAATTCAGATGAAGTTCCATCACAAAATTATCCATACGGCCATGTGCCAAGTGGCAGGTAAGTTTTAAATAGCCATGATACTAATGCCCACACATATAAGACAAATACTTAAAAAACATGAATGCTTGCAGGTTCTGATGTTTCTCCCTAGCTAAATAAAAGCTGAGAAGGGCATCCAATTCTTATTGTCAGAAAGAAAAAAAATTTAAAGGAAACTTATCAATTCATCCATTTTAAAGATATATTTGAAACTGACATTATTCTTACAAATACTAAATGTGAAACACACTTTAATCCTAAAGAAGAGTTTCTATTTTCCACAATGTTTCACAACGTAACTATAAATTCCTGCATCAGCAAGTCCCTCAAATTCTCAGAAGAAACATAGGCATGCATGTTAAATATTTTAGACGCTAAATGTGAAATGGGGAACAATAAAATTTAAAAAGAAAACATTAAAGGATAATAACTAGGAACAGCATCAATTTTTCAAAGCTATTGCAACCTTAATGTCAATAATAAAAATTTCTTAAAGTACCTCCGGATAGAACTCGTATGGTTGCACCAGTACTCTCCTGAATTGATTTGATCATTACACCCTGCTTTCCAATTAAATTAATAGCTTGTGGAGATGACACCAATAATCGAACCGAGCAAGTTGTAGAAGCATCATCAGCACTCTCTCCGGTCCCATCTAATAATCCGTTGATGCGTTTAAAAACTCTAAGAACTGCATCCATTGCGGGTGATAATTCTGAATCTGGTTCTTCCTTAGCAGATATTAGAACCTGATTAAAAATAAATAAAAATAATCTGTGATTACAAATTGTTAGACTACTTCCTCTGATCATGCACTGTTGTTTTAGTGATAAGAACAAGCACATAAAAAATTGTGAGATTTGGCAATCAATCAAAAGCTCAAACATTCAAACTTCTTCAAAACAAATGCTCAAAGATTTAACTATTAATTGAGAGGATAACATGACATTAATAAGACATACCACTCTCATAACATAAAAAATCCAACAATATTTTACAAAATCTTCTGCAATCAAATGGTTTTTTGTAACATGAATAAGCATTGGACTAAAGATGTGAGAGATGTGCCATTTTAGTAAAATATAAAGGCTATTTGGTTTAATGAAAAAGGAATGCCGATTAAAAATAATACAATGTAAAGTAATGTTCGAAAATACTTTTTAATTGTTTGGTCGAGTAGACTATAAATGCAGGAGTTTACTTCTTTTTGTTTAATTTGAAGTAACGAAATGCAAAGTACGAATTTGGAAAAATAACTAATCGAAGGTGACTAATTGTGAGAAAAGGGGTGACAATGGGCAGGTGATAGAAGAGATGGGCAGGGGTGGGCAGCAAGCAACTGCGGTGGTAGCACTGTAGCTGGCGACAGGTGTTAGTGGCAACGAGCCACGATGATGATAGCAACCGATAGTGGCAACGAGCCACGATGATGATAGCAACCGATGAAGACAAGGGCATGGACAGGCGACAAACGGCAGGTGGTGGCTGGCGTCACATTTGCCATAGTTGTGTACTCAGAGTTCGCTCAAAATGTGTGATTTTCAAATAAATTCAAAATGAACTAGATTGTGTATTCCAAACTCACTCCCAAAATACATTATATTTAAAATGCAGCCAACCAAATGCCTGAATTTACAAAAGCTCTAAGCTTTTTTACACTCAAAGTGCTACCAATCAAACAACCACATGGTCAACCGAAATAATAAGTACAACAGGCTCTAGTAATTAGACAATTGTTATCTAAACAAAAGCTCCTAATAGAACCATTGGAACAAATTATAACCATTGAAATTAAATTGCAATCAATCATATAAAACAAAGTACTTCTGAACGAGCAAATTGAGTAAATATTATAAATTATTCACAGGATATGTATGCATATATCATTTTTTTTCATTCATTGGCCATGCATGTGGCAAACTCCAGCTACTAACTTCATGTGAATAAGTACAACAATCAGGGTGGGCAAGTGGATGAAGGGATTTTAAATGTTCGTTTCTATTTTCTACACATCAAGAATAGCAAGTTTTCATTATATAGGAAACAAAAGTTTATTTTACAATAGAATGTTAATCCAAACTCAGAGTACACATATTCTGCCCAATACAACAGCCATCCACCTCTCCTGTAAGCGCTACTGAAGGATTTAAACCAGTTATAAATAAATTTGGTAGATAGTTGAAGCATATATAAGAAGCCCCTTTCATACAAATTATACACCCTATTTTGAAATTGTTGTGCTACTTTTAATCCCCCGCCTCAAAAAAGCAAAAAACAATTTAAAGGTTGAAATAAATTAAAGAGTGGTAAACAAATAATAAATCAACGCATGACTAATACATTTATTTTAAAATCTTAACTTATTTTGCATTCTCTAAAATTCTAACCATGAGTCAATCAAGAAGAGTGAATGCATTCATCATCATACATCTTATCTCAACTACTTGATACTAGCTTTATGAATTTCATCCACCATTCATTAGTCATGCCTTCAGTGCTAACTCCGATATCTAACTTTTTTCATTCTAATCCTTCCAAACAATTTTTTTATATTTATTGACTTGGTGCATGATGTATCTCTTTTATTTATTTCCAAATCATCTACCGTCTATTTTTCAAAACCTTATTTTTAACAAATTCTTCTCCAGCTAGCTCTCAAATATAATCATTTTACTTGATCAATCCTTCCTAATTTAACCACACATGTTTCTTAGCATTTTTATATCTTTCAAACTCTACTTGTCTACTTAGACTCATGACTCATATAATATAATAGGTTTAATTGAAATTCTATAGACTTAACTTTAAGCCTTCAAGATATTTCTATTCCTAGGGTGCTCAAGAGGCACCTCATCCACTTCAATTATCCAACCTTAACTCTATAACCCAAATATTCATCTTGAATTTTTTCAACATGATATATTCACCTTTTTTCTAACAAATAATAACTAAGCAGATGAGGAATGGATATGTCTATAAGTTGTTAATATATCTAGTTTTTTCTAAAATTCCACATATCTAAGACTATCAAAGCAAAGTTTGAATGCATTCATCGTCATATACCTAATCCCAACTATTTGGCACTGGCGTTATGAATTTTATTCTCCATTCATTACTTTGCCTTAGGTGCTAACTATAATTTAAGTTAATCTTTTTGCCATATTACCTTTGATCTACTTCTTTTCTTTCTAATCTTTTCAAATTAAATTTCAATAGCTATCATATTGATGCATTATAAACCTTCTTTATGCCCAAACCAAAAATGTATAATGTATTATTTTGCATAACTTTATCTTCTATAGATGCTTCTTGGATTCTCCCACTAACATAATCACTCAATCAATCCTTCAAAAATTTACTACACATCCAGGGGCAAAACCAGGCATAATTTTTAGGGGAAGCAAACTTATAAATAACTGTTGGCATATATGTCGGGAGTCCAAGGGGGCAGCGTCCCCTGACGGGGTTCGAATTTTGATTTACTATTTCTCTTTGTATTTGGTTCATCATTCCCTAACAATAACACATCTACACAATGTATTTAATTATATTGGAGGCAATTGCCTAAAGACCATAGTATTTTAATATTTTTACGGGGGGCAATTGCCTAAATACCCTTGTAATAAAGACAAAAAAAATAGATTTAAGGGAGACAAATTACCTAAATAATCCAAAAAAAAAAAAAAAAAAAAAAAAAAAATTCGGGGGGAAAAATCCCCCCCCCCCCCCGCCTCCAAAGGGTTCCGCCTCTGTACACATCGCTCTTAGCATTTGTTGGGAGAGATTAATGAATGAATGAATATTATAAAAATTCTTGCACTTGTGTGTTTTGAGAGAGTTTGAGAGTTCTTTGAGAGAGCTTTGGAGAAATCCCTAGGGAGGGAAAACGGATCACCCACCAACCTTGGAGACGACCGGGTTCGTGATTTGTTTTATCATTTTTTTTTTCCTTTCAATCTCCTTTCCTCCTAGCCGCCGGATTCCCTAGCCAACCCCACCACACCCGCCGGCTCCCCACTCCACGACAAGCTCTCCTCCGGTCAACATCCCTTTTCCCACCCCATCTAGCCGTCGACCACTCAAGGAGGCTCTTCCCTTGCTTGGTTAATTCATTCAATCCCCACCCCCACCTAACCCTAACCCTAACCTTAGTCCAAGCCGCCGACCATCCCTCCCAATTTCCTTTTGCCTCCAAATTTCAAAAGCCTTTCATTACTTTCCTTTTCCATCAAACTTAATTTGGAAAGTCTTGATTTCAATTTTTTCAATCTAATTTGAATTTTGAAAACTTCCCAATTTTAGAATCTTATTTTAGGAAAGTTTTAAAATTAAATCTTATTTGAATTCAAATCAAATTAGATTTAATTAAATCCTTCCTAACTTCAAGTACCAAAACCAGAAACCCCAAATCCCTTCCAACGATTCCCTCCCTCATCTTGCACCCACCGGCCCCCCTACCTCCAATTTCCTTGATTTCAACCCAAATCTACTCTCCAATTAATCCCCTAAGATTCTTAGCCTTAGCCTCTTCCCCCAAACCTTCATCTTCATGGTTTACCTATGTTTCCTGAAGCTGTGATGTGCAATCCTCATCTCTGGAAAAGATGTGTCTGCTGTCCAAGAAGCCCAGCCCACTCCACCCCTATCCAGAGGAATATCGGTTGCTGTCCAGAACTGATTTCTGGATTCTGGACAGATTCTACCTGCTGTCCTAAAGTTTAGACACAGTAAACTGCTGTCCTGCATATCAAGAATCGACTTCCTGCTGTACTGAGCGTTCCCAACCCCAGCCCAGCTGCTCCAGCCGAAGAATTTCACTGTCCAGGAGTCTCATCCGCGGGTATTTACTACTTCCCACCGAATCAATACTTCTTTAAGACTCACTTTAGTTTGTGGAAATTGATCAAGTCATGTAAATTGTTTTAACTTAACCGCCAAGCCTAGTAATCGTAGAGAGTTGATTAATGGACTTGTTTCATAGTGACTATTCTTATTGTTAATCCAGGGATTTTAGTTGAACATTGATAGGAAATACTTGAGTTCGCAAGTAACCCTAAGGTAATACTTGAGTTCGCAAGCAATCCTAACCCAAATCGGAGATCCAACAGCGACAAAGTTGCTGTCCAGAACAGAGAGATAACCAAGAAAAAGACTTGTATTCCAATAAACGATGAATAAAACATTAAAGATACAATTGATCCTCAATTCGAGAGGAGGATCGATCTCTCCCAAATCTCTAGACGCCGCTAGAGCCCAAAGAAACATAAATCTACGAGATCTCAAATTTCAGCCAAATTCAAGATACTCAAACCCTAGAAAAATCAACTATTTAATGCATACAAATCAAAAGGAATTCCCTAAACAGTCCCTACAATCAATTTCCCTCCTAAAATCCATTCAAAAACCTTCCTATTCGGCCCTGTTTGATCCCGGCGGGCGTGCGGGAGGCAGAACTTCAGCCTCGTGTAGCTGGGCCGGTCCCGCATGGACCGAATGGACCGGTCCATTGGACCGATCTAACAATACTCCCCTCTCAAAAATCCACCTTATCCTCAAGGTGGAGATATGCTCGTGTTCCGGTGGAGGTGGCCATCCTTGAAGTGACTGAAAATCCTTATTGTATTGCGGAACCAAGAGCTGCACGAAACGAGAAACATCCCCTCCCTCCTCCATCCTGATCAAATTCAGCTTGTGTAGTCCCACCAGATAATCTTCCCTCACCTCTTGCATATCCCTGACCATGGTCTTA